CTCGAAGAAACACTGCAAATATTTCTTCAACGACCAGTCTTAACAACATGGATTTAACATGTGAATGTTCCTTTGATTATGATCCAGAAGAAAATGAAAATCTACCTAAATATGCATTTTGTAAAGTGATGAAATTTCGTAATAAAAATTCACGAAAAACTTGTTATGAGTTACTACCAATAAATCAAAAAAAAGAATTTCACTCACGTATAGTAAACTATCTAGAGAAAAACAAACAAAAGTGCCCCGATTGTGGAGGAACTATAATGATTATTCAGTCGATAACTAATGTTTCCATAATGAGTAATGATTACAGCAGGACTTCAACTTATAAAAATGAGCAATATTCAAAAAACAATGTTTTAAGTCGACCGGAAAATAATGAAGAAAAAGAGAGCATTGTTCAAAGCTCATCTTTAGTAGACAAACAAGATTCTGTAACTGCAAGGCGATCTCGTTCAGCTGGCCCTAGTAAAGATTCAACAGTATTAAAATCAATCTCAGGTGACAAAAATACACATGACGATTCTATACAACGAGATAAAAATAATTCACAACCTTTAACTATTCTTAAAAGTAAGAGTGAGAGATTAGATAGCTTTGGTGCCAAACGCAGGTCAACTAAAAGGGTGAATTTGACAAATTTTTTAAACAAAGACATTTCTTACGGTGAATTAGAAACTTTAAAAATATTTGATAAGCTTCGGTCAGTAACGGAAGCAAGAACTATCAACGACTGGCATCGATTAGGGATTATTGATAGCAATGACAATGTCAATGGTGATGTTAACAGAGTTTTCAAGCTTAATATTGAAAAGGGTGTTTCGAAAACGCGCTTTGATAAATGTTCTTGCTTGGAATTAAACATAACTATTTATGAACAACTTATTTATCACGCGAAGGAAGCCGATTTAAAGATTAAAGTAATTGAATTCCTTATAAAGTATAGCCATTTTAATCTTTTAGCGAATAATTTCGATTGCATTTATCCAAAGTTGGAAGAAGCAGAAAAAATGTGTTCACAAAAACATATTGTATATCTGAGTATATTCGACAAACGTAGATATTTAGGCAAAATTTATTCCATCCGGTCAGCGGCATTATTAATGTGTGGTCATTTGGCAGCTGCTAAAGTACAAATAGATCGAGCAACCAAAGTTTATGGTTTCAATCTTGACAAGATCTCAGATTTTTTCAGTATACGAAACTTTATGTCGGCAACGACCTTAAAACGTAACAAGTATATGAAACATAATATGAATATGAAGACTGATTCTATATTTTATCTAAATGTCGCGTCCTCATTGTTTTCCGCTTTAGGAGACAAAAAGACTTCAAGAATATCTGCTGTCCGTGCGTTAAATTTAACACAAAAAGTAGATTGTAATGTTATTGATTTATGTGATGCATTCAGTAATGCTATGCAAATAGAAATTAGTCGAGGGCACCCCGAAAACACGGAAGATATAGAGCTACTGGCAATTAGTACATTCAAAAACCTCTCATGCCCTGTTCAAGCTGATGAAATGTTTGCGATAGGAAAATTTTTCATGGCATGTTTCCGAGCTAGAATGACACGTGGTAAGCTTCCCGAAGCCATTAGATCAGGATTTAGGGCTCTTACCATTAGTCGCTTTCTTTATGCTGACAAAATATCGCTGGAAATTATTCCTGATTTGTTTTATATCTTACTGTCCAGGCGTCGAATAGAAGAGGCTGTTGATATACTTAAGCTATTACTTCAATTCGCCCATAAACAATCCACACCTGAATGTGAAACGTGGTATTACGCGCTTTGCGTTGACCTCATTCTGGACGCAGGTTTTCAACTAGAACAACCAAAAGACATAAGCCAATTCGCTGAGCACGCGTTACATAAAGGTCCATCAGCAGGACCAAGCAGACGAAGACTCATTACTGGACTTTGGGTGTATTGGCTTCGTGCTGACGTTGATCGTAAATCACGAAATTTCGAATCTGAAGCCTTGTACTGGATATCTTATGATGACGGGGATAGTTTCTTCAACACGTTGTTTAGTTCAATGAGACTCGCTGAAGGAATGCTGGAAATGTTAGCTAGGAAGATGGATGACCTGCGAAAGGTGAGTATAAAATATTTTCAATTCAAAATTAAAATTAATGGGTTCTTTATTGCCCCAAACTATTTTTTTAGGTAGTGGATTTGATGGAATTACGATCAATAGCGGATAGAGAATTGATACGCTTAGAAAATGATACACGTCTCATGCGAGCAGCTTACCCGAGATGGTTACTTTTAAAAGCAAACTCTCTTCTCTTGTCAGGTCGACAGAGTTCAGCAATTACGACCGCTAATCATGTAAGAAAATAATCATTTCCAGACATATTTTTCCATTACTCATACTTTTACACTACGCTATCTAGTACTGAAACAGTGTAGTTCCTTAACAAAGCTTTTAGTACGAGTATGAGTACGAGATGTACATGGAGTGCTGAAATACCTCTAAATGCATGTATACTGGTATTTGGATGTTCATTTACATCTACTACTACTATACAGGGAGATTTTTTGAGAAATTTACACAGAAAGTTCAGACTCGGTAGTATACTCGTTTATTGAAATAAAAAATAATTTTTTTTCCAAAAAAAAATGCCATTCTATTCTCTAAAAAACAGAACGTGCTGACAATGCGCTCATTCATAAATACCTAAATTTTACTGTGCACGAACTTGTGTGCGTGTTAGTTATGAATGATCGCGCGTAAAATAAATGAGTTGCGAATAAATCACGCACTTTTTGAGATAAGTTCAAATAAATATAGGAAGTCCGCCAACCCGCAATGGGGCCGCGTGGTGGACTATGCTCTGATACCCTCTGTACAGAGGAGACCTTTGCCCAGAAGTGGGTTATTTATAGGCTGATATACATCTTTTTACTACTATACAGCGTGTCTTTACAATCGCGACAATAAATGAACACACATATAGAGGATAACTTTTTTAAATTGTATTAAAAATTTACATTCTTTAAACATCAATATTTATCGAGGTATAAAATTTTCCAATACATACAATTTTATAACACCCTTACGTATAAAACTGTAACGTAAAGTTCTTTTGTAAAGGTCACAAAGCATATGAATGGGTTGAATGATTTTAAAAGAAACAAAACATACATAGTTATAAGGAGAGGCTTGTTATAAGACACTGTGGCAACGAATGAAAAAGTCTCTAAATGTATGAATCAGTCAATTGTAGTTGTATAGGATGTTATAAATATTGTTTCGTTTTTACTTAATTAGTTTGTTTGAAAAATATTTTTTTTAATTATGTATTTTTTTATCGTTAATATTTTTTATGATTATTGGCAAGTAGCGTTAGACGTGTGTTCATTTATTGTCGCCGTTGTAACGACACGCTGTATATGTATCTTTTTCTGGAAAAATACTATATTTATCCTGACATGATAACATTTGATTGTTTATACGGTTTGAACAGTTTTTAGGTTTAATTAATTATTCTGATGGGTCAAGTTTTTAAATCACTGAAAAGTAAGTGCGACATATGGAATGCTAGGAAACAGACTCACCTCCTGTTATCATACATAAAATGTATTTTTATAAAAAAAAGAACATAATTTCAGTTATGTGTGTTCGATTTAGATTGAGTAGAAAAATAAAAAACCTTGTCATATTGCAGAAAATCATTTGAACTTAATTATTCATACAACAAAGAAGAAAATGATTATGGCGAACAAGGTTTTTTATTTTTCTAGTCAGGCAGGTATGAATAATTACTTATGTTATACAAAATACACTAGAAGTTATATTATAAGCACACCGGCTTATCGATTTATGTAATTCTAAATAACAAAATTTTAACTAGGCTTTAGAAGAAGCGCGACGAATCCATAATCATTTAGAAGAGGCTTTAATACGCGCTTCAACGTCTAATTCATGCTTTTGGATCCAAAATGCGCGCACTGGAAATTTTATGCAATGGCGTGAGGGCTGCGAAAATGCACGAAAATCTTGGCATCGAATTATGTACGGGATAAATTCAACTCGGTCATAACAAGTAATAAATATTTCAATAATTTGTAACATAAGTAAAAAATGTATTAAGGACTCTTGAAGGACTAAGAATATTTCAGTTGATATTCCAGCGTCGTATTTCCTAGGTCGAGTCGGCCCGGGCCCAGGGTGGCAAGATGTAAGGGGCGACAAATTAGTGAGTTTTTTCAGTAGTCGCTTCTTTTACCTCTCTTTTCTGATATTCCTCAAAAATTATAATAAATCAAGCTTGCCTTATGAGTAGGTACTATTATTATACTACTTCGGCTTCATGATTAGTAGTTTTACTTTGTTTAATTTTACACTTTTTACTTTTTGTACAAGCGTATCCCTTAACTTTGCAAATATGTTAAAAAAATGTGGCATTTACTGCTTTCGTATCTTCAATAAACGGTCTTATATCCAAAAACTAATATTGAAGTAAGTGGATAATATTAGTCAAAAACTCTATGTCTGACGAGCCAAAATACTTTTTTCTTATTTTCAGGTTTACTTTTTAGTTTTTGATTCAATTCCATAGTCTTTAGACATTAATCATCAATCAGTATTATTATACATATAGTCTATATCCCTCAATCCTGTTAATCCTCTACTTCTGCGTCTGTTTACCTTATTTACCTGACATTTACAAAAACAAAGTTTTAAACTATATTATTTATTTACTAATTGCAATAAGTTGAGCTATTTATTAAGTTGTACAAAATATTATGCTTCATAATAATTACCTTGACCTTTTAAAATGTATGTCGATATCTTATCGTTAATTAATGTCAGCAAGGCGGTGGAGCAGCATTGCCCTAGGAATATTAAATTTATTGTAACTTTTAAAAAGTTGAGAAAATGTCTCGGACTAAACAAGAAAGAGTTGTTTTTGTTGGAACCATTATATCATCAAGTGCTGTAGACCGGTTAACAGTTCTAAAAGGTTTTATTACTGTGGAAAACGGGATGGTTAGTTTTGTGAAATACTACTGTTTAATAAGTCTTATAATAATTAAAAAAATATAAAATATCAGTTTATGTAAAAAATGCAATACTTTTATTCTAATTGAATATATAATATGTTATAATAAACAAAATAACATATTTAAATTTCATATTAAGCTTTCATCGTGCTGCGCTGAAGATGAAAATTGAAAACATTTGTAGAAAAATTGAAGACAAGTTTTTCTCCGCCTTTATATTTGTAAAATATAATTTTGTTTTATGTATTTAATCATTTTTTATTAATAAATATATTATTAATATAGAATAATTATAATATGTCTTTAGTATAGTATTTGAGTATTAATTGATGAGCACTCTAAGTGGTAATTGTTCAGCGGATTATACAGTTAATATTGCGGTTAACTACTTACTTAAATTTTTGTCTTCCACAAATAAAAATTTTTGTTAATCATACTGTTCTTTTCTCATAATTTTATTACTATTTCAGATTACTAGAATAGGTTCTGAAGATGAATATAATTCCATAAAAAGTTCCACTGAATTATCAGACTATGAGGCTGTTATTCTTTCTCGAAATCAGATATTAATTCCTGGACTTGTTGATTGTCACACCCATGCCCCACAGTTTCCAAACATTGGTTTGGGTCTAGACCGCCCATTACTTGAGTGGTTGGACAAGTACACATTTCCATTGGAAAGGAAGTATATGGATGTCAACTTTGCTAAGAGCATTTATGAACAAGTTGTTGTAAGTGAATATCACAGTTTTTACTTGAAACATATGTTATAATATTGTTTTTAACTTTTATCCCGTATTACAGTATATGAAGACAAAGCATTATATGACAAGTTATGATTTCAGCAAAGGCTAATAAAAAATGGTACTACAACAGCTTGCTATTTTGGCTCACTTCATTTGGAAGGTACATTGCAATTAGTTGATTCCGTAATTAGACATGGACAAAGAGCAATTGTGGGCAAGGTGAGCATGAATATTGAAAATGATGCAGGCTACTATAATGATACTGCAAAAGAATTGTTAGAAGTCGAAGAATTCATACAAAAAGTATTGAAGCACAAGGTATGAAAAAATTTATTATTGTAATATTTATTCTGGTTAAGCCTAAGCTAAAATAAGTGAAATAATGTACTTTTTTAATATACTTGGAAAAAAAATCAAATTAAATAATTGAGCCTTTTTCAGTTTTATTGCAGTTTAAACTAAATTATTTACCTTCTAATATCTACTACCACTGTATCTAAATATGGGTAACAAAACAATATAAGACTCATATGCAACTAAAAAACTCAGATTTTAAGCAAATAATTTATCACAATAATAATATTCTTATGTTTTAAATATCTAAATCTAATTTACAATATAGCACTGTTAAATATATTACTGCTTGTACTTTAGTTTGTATAATTTTGAAGAGTAATAGATATAATAAAGTTATTAAGTGAGCATAGTTTGGGATAGTTAAGCTAGTGTGTTATAAATTAATTTTTAAATCCACTGTTTCCAAATTTGCAGAATGATTTGGTAGCACCAGTCATCACCCCAAGGTTTGCAGTAAGCTGTAATGAGACATTAATGAGAGGACTATCAGAAATAGCAAACAGATATGGATGCAGAACTCAGGTATGTATTAAAATCATTTATAACTACTTATGCATATATTTTTTTGCTTAGAGCTATGTAATTACATTATTTATATTTTTATACATACTTTTGGCTATTCCAGAGTCACATATCAGAAAATCTCAAGGAAATTGAGCATGTTTTGAATATAAATCCCGGTTGCAAAAGTTATTCAGAAGTGTATGACAGAAGCTACATTTTAAACAATAAGGTAAAGTTGTTTAGTTCAAAAATTATTAATTCCATTTTAAATCTGAAATGAAGACGTGGACAAACATGTGGTTTCTAAACACAGTAGACTTTCATCAAAAACTAAAAAAAAAAATATAGAAACAAAATGTTAAAATATCAGGTATCAAATATGTAAAACAAAATATGACCTAATATCATAGGATATGACCTAATATAAGAATGCAATACCGTGAATATGTCTGCAACAGCAGTAACTTACACATATTTGTATACTATTAAATCTAATATTACATAAATTTTCAGTGCATAATGGCACATGCAGTATATCTTAGTGATGATGAGATTGCATTGTTGGCAAAGAAAGGGGTTTCCGTTGCTCATTGTCCATCTTCCAATACAAGACTCAGATCAGGCCTTTGTCCTGTTAGAAAGCTCCTCGATAATGGCCTTACAGTTGGCCTAGGGACAGGTGAGTTTCACTTTGTTTTACTTATTAAGTATTGTTTACTCAAATATCCACCAAATCTATTTTGAGGGAACCTATATGTTTTACAAAAATGAAAAGCTGATTGATTTCAAATACTCTGTATATTTGAAATCAATAGTTATATCCCATCATAACCCAGCAATTAGGTATAGCAAATAATTGGTTGTGGCATTTGGGTCATTTAAGACTTTTTCCTAACTCAAAGGCTGGCAGAGCAGTTGTGACTCCTCCGATGTTGCAAGTGTCGATGGACGGTGGTGATCTAGGGGAATCTATTGAGATCCTAGGAGATCGATAGTCCTACTGTAGTCTTCCCTTCGATAACGTTATTTTAACCCCCTTATTTTAACGTTGTAACAACGTTTTATGTACACAAATTTCACGTGGACTAATACCCCGACCCGAAACAATTATATGTGGGTCCCAACAAATAGTAGTCTCGTGTGGGAATTGAACCGACGAAACGCGTCAAAGCCAATACTTTGAAAACTGCGCCACGGAGTCATCATGTACTGTCATATGATAGGCGCTTACGATCATGAGTATGATGTTTTGTGACCTATCATTATAATATGTAATATGTTCACGCCTTTAGACGTGTCTGGGGGCGACAGCGCCAATATATTGGACGCGATGCGTCGCGCCATGGACGTTTCGACCCACCTCGAACTTATCGGAGACGCGAAACGCGCGTTGAGCTGGAGGGAAGTCTTCTATCTGGCAACACTGGGAGGGGCAAAAGGTAAAGAAAGACTTTAGGGCAAGCTTTTGGCTGCAGTTTTACGTAATGGTTCTGGTAAAATACATGCCAAACAAGGTAATGGTTATAGGCATGTATGTAAACTAGATTTTTATGCCTAGCCAGTTAGAATTTTATTTGGATTTATTGCAGTGTAATTATTATTGAATCATTCATTTTAAGTTTGTATTGTTTTCAACATTGCCTTTACTTTACTGTTATTTTTATGTTACAGCAACAGTTATCTGTGGGTCCACAAATACTGTTACTCTATGTGAATCGAACCCACAATCCCCGATGTAAAAGCGAATAGTTAGACAACTGCGCGACCGAATCATTTAGTGAATAAAAGACTATATTTATTTTTCATTTTGTGCAAAATTATCATTATGAGATTGTGCAATATTATAGATGCTGATATATCTGTATCATAATCTAACCAATAACCATATCCTACACAGTGTAATTATCTGAGAGTATGAGATCAATAGGATGACGATGACGAAGTCTTTTTATTTTAAATGTTGGCAAGCTTGAAGATGCGTTGCCAAATACTAAAGACGGACTCCGTTTACCACTCACTCGCCAGACGCTGTATAGTTTGTATTTATCTATAAAAACGAAGGTCCTGAGTTATAATGCGACTTAGTTCAGGGGTCGTGGCTGGAATATAAATATAATAAGTTTAACTAATTTTTTTAAGACATTGAAGCGGTTAAAAAACCTGTCATTAGCTAGCTATGTCGATATAAAGTTAAACAAAAAAGTGTCCCATGTTTTAATTTAGTGCAAACCGTTTCGAGTCGAAATTTTATTCAGGACCGTTAATATTATGTACAATTGCGAATTGATCGCAAATCGCGCATAACAATTGCATTGATGATGCGAGCCGGACTTACGTCCGGTTCCTATTCAGTGTACGGCTGTCAGTTACATAGCTTCGTTACTTTCATAACGACTTGTGGATAAAAGGTGTGTACACCCGGTTCCTATATTAACAAAACGAGGCGTTTTCCTTACGAGCCGTTGCATTAACTACGGAAAGTGAGTTACTAGCGTTACTTTAATCTACAAGTCGTTATGAAAGTTACGAAGCTATGTAACTAACGGCCGTTCGTTGAATATAGGAACCGGGCATTAGTTACGTAACGAATGACAACAGTAATGCGACATTGACCAACAAAAAAATATTCGTTTCTAGTCCGCACCAAGAGATGTTAAATATAAAAGACTTCATTTAAATATTCGAAGAATAAACGAATTTAATTCTAGTTCTCTTCGCGCTAATCTCCTCTGAGTGCAAAAGCTTGCATTTGAACAGTCCGGTTCCTTCGCAGCACTGCAACTCGACGACAAAATCGGCAGTTTCGAAGTGGGCAAGGAGTTCGACGCGTTAGTGGTGGACGTTTACGCGAGCGGCGGACAAGTAGACCACCACCCATACTCCATGGAGGAAAACGAGGAGGAGCACCTCTTTGGTCTACTGCAGCGATTCGTGTACGTCGGCGACGACAGGAACATCACTCAGGTGTATATCAAGGGCAGAAGCGTGAAGCGTTCGTGTTGACTATTTTTTTTTTATGTGAAATATTACATTCCGCAACAATGGTTTCAACGTTTGTTGAATTATTTTCCTTGAAATAAAAAAAAAACTATGTAAATAATAAAAAAATTTCAGTTAAACTTTCGTTTGCACTGTCGGAGCGATGCATACACTGCTGTTTCATATCGCTAGGCTCGTCCGAGAAGTATACACGAGTGACCCTTTTAAATGTTGACACCGAATCAGGGACCCCAATAAAAATGAGCAGTTACTTACTCTTTGAAACTACTTAAAAATTCATCATCGCCATCCCAGTGGAAAATAAAATGAAACTAATGTTACGATTTTTTATATTTTTGTTTTATTCTCGTGTAATTCTTTATAATTTATATAGAAAAATGTGCAAATATAATGTGACAATAAAAACTGAATTCATAAGCGAAATACCTCTATACAATACTATAAAAAGGAATATTTAAATACTAAACACTCACTATAAAGCGGAACAAACGGAGTGGTTCACACGAATATAATTACGTTTCCTCCGTTCCATAAAATTCAGTTTTATTGCTATTTTACAGTTACCATTTTCCGGTAAAACCTTCCTTCGAAATCGCCATACAATATAATCATTTGCTATAATTTCGTTAAAGCTCCGAGATCTTATAACATAATCTTATTGTATGTCAGAAAATAATACTCAAAGCAACTGGTATTGTTAAATACTTTTACATCGGTGGAATGATAAGATATATTAATATATTCGAGCGTCAATAATATACAAAAACATATGAACAGTCTTATAAATCAAATATTCTATTTAACAGCTATATCAACCTATAATGTACAAAGTTTATTTTTATACCGAGCGTTGAAAATTTATTACAAAAAAAAAATGGATGGCGTAAATACAAATTTTATACGATAGCAATTAATATACAACAAATATATATATATATGCTTGATACATACATAACTAACACACATTATACTGCTATCACACAGGGCAGTTGATGGGATTATGGGATTAGAATGCACACGATAAAGCCAAAGGCCCTAACCCAGAAACAGTGAAATGAAAATTAAAAACATACGGTCGATCTAGAGACGACGATTAGACCTAGACGAGACATTAAATTGTTTAATTTGGGATATTAAATTGTTTAATTTGGGATATTTAGTCGTATACATTTATTAATTACACTCCGCTTGACATAAACATAAATTTTTAACGCACGTAAAGTTTTCTGCATACGAAGAGTTGGAATTTTTACTCCCCATTTTTGGGTATAGCAAAGCAGTTGACAATAGACAGGTCGTAACAACTTATGCGTTGTCAACGACTTATAGAAGCAATAAATAAATCAAATAATTATATTAAGTAAGTAATAAGTACAAGTAAACTTGTATTGTTCAGCGGAAAGTGTAAAATTTAACTAAAATAACCTCTATCCTTAATGGAAGACTAACTTCATTAATAATAATTGGAAGTCATATTAAATAAAAATAAATATTTTTAAATTGTCTAAATTTAAAAATCAAAATAAAATATGGTCAACATTCTAACCCCAAAGATCCGATTCGATCTTCATTTGACATCAAATCAATCTGCGACCTATGTGAGAACGACTTCTAACCAAACTTACCCGCGGGAACATTGTGATGGCAGGTACTGAAAGGCATCTCAAATCTCGGGCTCCGTTATACTATGTATTACCTAGTTCCTATTTATCCTAATCAATGAACACAAGATTTCGGATGTGTACACCCAAAAATATTAGCTACCCCGTAGTTGGTTAGACAATACATAATTTTACAGGTATATTAATTTTCCCTATATTGAATCCAAGTGGAGAGAATAGGTACGTCAAGACATGGCATCGGAAAAGTCTAGAACAATCCCGTCAACTCACAACAATTGGGTACAACACTTTGTATTGATAAAATTGAGCTGCCTCGTGCGTAGCCGTTCCTAAACTAAAATAGCGGATATTTATAAATAAAAAATGTACCGAAATCTTACGCAAAGAACAAATTATATTACAATTAATCTTTGCATTGATCTCGTCCCAGTCTGGTGACAAACTTAAAAAATAAAATCTTACAAACCAATGAAGTATTATATAGAAATGTGCAAACAAATGTGCATAATAATAAAAATGTTCGACATTTTAATATTTACATTTAATAGTATCAAATTGTTCTATATCGACAGTCGAATTCTTTGACCATCGCAAATACTTTACATGTTATACAAAATTATCATAGTCAAATTCTCAACATACAAACTAAAAGAAAGTTACAATATTCATAAGAGATTTCACAATCAACTAGCACCTATTAATTAATTATTAGATTTAAAAAAGTCCCGAAATTTTATCTAAAGAATATTAAAGTGTAAATTCGATACTGTATAATGCAATTTGTACTGTTTAACAATAGACAACAATATACGCGAATCCCTGAAAGAAGTTCCATTTATTTTTTAATAAACTATAGTGGTAGTAAATTTAATAATTCATATAAACGAAACCCTAATACAGTTTGAAGGATATCTCTACGATATTTCAGTCTTTAATTTGTGGCGCGACATATTTTAATCAAATCCCTCCCAATACGTTGTCCAGATGTACGGCTAATTTTGGCGGGTATTTTGCATCCATCTCCTTTACTTATGAGCAAAAGTTAGAAGACATACTCTCTCACTATTGAGGTAGAAAGAAATGCAAGTGACACGGTATGCGGAAAATAGAAATAAACTAAATTAAAACAATTACAACTATTTATCTATGCGTAGCACACTAACGATTAATGTATAATTACTAATCAATCATAATATATGTCTAAACGTATTTACAGGAATGTGTAAGGATGTGACTCATTAACAAAATCTGGCATTTGTGCCAGTGCGAATAAATAATAAAACAAGTTCAACAATACTAAAAGAAATATATAAGATTCCTATGAAATGTATTTCGTACTTATAGAAATAATAAAGAGAAAGTTAGAAACTTTAAAAATACTTAATGGCACTCAGGTTTCTTGTTTTTGCGTTCGATTGTTTTCACCAAGACCGTATAGACCGTATACAAAATAAAAAAATCTAAATAGTTTCTATGACACACAAATTTGGAAGAACGATTAAAGTCTAAATATCCTTTTTGGAAAAAAGGTCGAATCTATTTCTACAAAGATATGAGTAGAGAGCGATTAATCTGGAAGTCCAGTAAAAGCATTTAATTTCTAGAACCTTCCTTAATTTTTCAAAGCTGCATTCTATATATTATGTTATATACATAGGAGGCAACAACTCTATTAGTTTGCGATATGCAGACTGTTGGGTTTCTTGAAAATTACAGATACAACCTCTGGAAATCTTAATTTGTACGTTTGTAGGAACCAATCAAATGCAATTTATACAAACACAATAGCGAAGTGACGTATTGAAGTAAAAAAATAAATTCATCTCAACTGGCTTCCAAATCAGTGTGCAGAAAATTGTGTTGCTGCGTTTTAAGCTATGTTAATAAAAATAATCTTCGAAATTTTAATTTACTTCCAAATATAAAAATATTGTTCACAACTCCATATGGTCATTATACAATGTTGATAGAATGAAGTTCGCGCAGTAATATCTTGGCTTTGCAAACGTGAAAGAGCTATTAAAACAAGCACCTAGATTACAACGGATCACATTCTACGCGGATTTAACATTTTTGCGATTACACAGGTAATTGATAGTAAACCTGTATTCATTTATGAACATTAACGCCCGGTTACTGAAACACTGATCATCGTAGATGTCAACTAATCAGCTGTCAAATGGCTTTTCAAATTTCATTTTAGTTGCCATGAGGATGGTTAAACTATCTGAATTGACCAGAATATTTAACTATCCTTATGGCAACTAAAATGAAATTTGCGGCGTACTACACACCGCGATCTATCGAGACCAGTCACCTGGTTCTGGTCAACCTATTCCAGTTAGCACTTGCGTCGGGGGACGCATTTGTATTGCCAGTTACCGCGTTTCCGTCGGGGGGTGCATTGTGCCGCGTCGCCGGTTACCGCGCCCCAATCGGGGGCTACCAGGTGCCGTTGGGGCGCCGGCCGAGTCATGCGGTCACTTTACGAGGCTGGAGAGCGAGCGGGATCTCAGTGTCGGAGTGCGTGAGGGCGCGGCAAGCGGCGCCGCCCGCGCACAGGCGCGCGCGCCTCGAGCGCCGCCGCGAGCCCCTACGCTCGCAGCCAGCGCAGCCTGCGGGCACGCGCGCACCGATCTCACACACCGCACGCGCCGCTGCGCCCACCCGGCACACGGGACGTTAGGGCTGCCAACCCGTATCTCCAAAGCACACTGATGGGGCTGCCAGCCGTATCTTCCGAAGCACTCGGAACTTTCGCTCACTGATAGGGCTGCCAACCATATCTTCCGAAGCACTCGGAACTTTCGATCACTGATAGGACTGCCAGCCGTATCTTCCGAAGCACTCAAAACTTTCGCTCACTAATAGGGCTACCCACCATATCCTCCAAAGCTCACTTATGGTTCTGACAACCGTATCTTTTAAAGCACACTGATTTTTCACTCTGTGATGGAGCTGCTGCTATGTTCAAAGCACTCGGATCTTTCGCTCACTGATACGGCTGCCAACCATATCTAACAAAGCACACTGATCTTTCGCTCACTGATAGGGCTGTCAACTGTACTAGTGACACAAACGAACATAGTAAAACTCGTGTAGAGGCAGCCACTATTTGTAACGTGACGTGACACGAACTAACACGTCTCTCGTAGTGCTATACGTAACGCCAGGGACAAAGACAAGTCACGACGTTTTTGTTAATTTCAAACGGAGTGAGATCTTGATAAATAGTAACGTCCTACAAGTGTCACATCACGTCACACGAGTGCGGCTAGTCAGGTCAGAAATTTATACGAGTCATGACGTAATCACGTGTTGTGGGTGGGCGCGGGCATTTAAGGAGTAAAACACAGCACATCGATAAGAGGAGCAGGGCTGAATCGCTAATACAATTCTTGTTCAGTGATGCTATTCATATTTGCCTTGTAAAAACTCTTAACGAATGCCATCAGCCTTGTTCGTCTTAAAATCACCGGCTGCGTCCGGCGATTATGAATGACGGGTTTCCATTGTGTCAACGTTAATTATAAGAATAATAAACATCAAAAACACTTATATAACTATCGTGTATAAAATTCCAAAATTCCAACCAAAGGCAAAATTTAAATCATTCGAAATCGCTAGACATTCCCGTCATTCGTCCTGTACACGCGTTTTGAAATCTCAGCAATTGCATTAATAGATATGCAAATCGCAACAACTTGTAACAAAACAAACAAATAATTGCCTCAATTTTCATAACGTCGTAGAGGTACGAATGGCAGTAAGAATATAAAAATACTTAAAAAAACACACAAGTACAAACTCACAAAACAACAAAAAAAAATCAAACATTATGCTGTATTACATCTACGAAGCAATGGTAATATGTATGCGTACATAAATACATGACAAGTGAATCCGCCGTATAAAGACTATGCGTGAACTCGAATAATACAACAATATGAACAAACGAATGAAATGTAGGTATGATTATGAATGCCTGTACTAAAAATCATAAAGTTACAACGTATGTACAGTATTAAACATAGAAATCGGTCTATCGAAAAAAAGAACAAATTGTTTATTATCATATAATATGCTGTTTTTCCCGAATAAATAAATAAAAAGAAAACAGATACGATAATCCCCGAGGACTAACTTTATATCAAAATATTATTGCACCCGTCTTCTCTATCTAGAATCTAACTTTTTGACGTAACAAAGGCGTACTATTGCAGAGGTTACACGAGATAGAACAAAAAAAAGTAGAGACATATATTGCAAAAGTACTTTAGACAATAATAATATTCCACTAATAACCATTGACGTCAGTTAAACTTAAAACTCGAGTAATAACGGATCGCGTACAAAAATCTATTCATCAGAAACATGATTTGTTACAACGTGTTAATATTAATTATTTATTTGCCTATGTCACTGTCATAACTAAGACGAGTCTAATGATATCTCACTCGCTAAAATCCATTACGGCGTCAATTCTACAGAGCGTGTCAAAGACATACCATTACATACATTCGTACCTTCGAAAAACATTATCACCCTCTCTTAATCAGCCGGGTGCTTATATTCGGAGAAGTGTTAAGAAACTTGACGACGACCACAACTTTCTTTGTTTAGAAAAAATTCTCAAGAATGGCTTATTAAGAGAGATAATTTCTGTAAATATCTATTTACTAATCAGTAGTAAGTAAATAAAACATAGTATTGGCTTTAAGCAAAATTCGGTCTAGTTTGATTTTCATATTTTGAAATGGTAAAATGCAAAGATCACAACTCTGATATATTGTACGTAAAGCCGACTTTCCAAAACTCCATATTGTTGCAAACTCACCGAAGGCACCGAATTCAATTCACTTTAAGATGTAAAAAATTAAAGGGTGTAGATATGTTTGTATGACTTAAAATCAGATACTTAATGCGTGTCGAAATATTCGCATAAATCGCGTTTTTATGACGCTACCATATTGACCCAAAAGTATAAACTTGGGATTCTTCGACAAACTGATGTCTATAAAACGAATAAATTATTTTACTTCGACAATTACTTACGAAATACTTTCACTAAATAACAACTACCTTACCATCTTCATGTAACATATAAATGCAGAATGCATTCAAAGTCAAATGCAATCAAAACTCATTTGCAATTCAAAACATTTAAGATTTTTTTTTATAATTTAGTGCTGTGAATAAAATCCTCCTTCTTGATTTATCTCCGTTATGTACACTGATACCCTACCTACAATATAATATCTTGAATTATTATTTACCCAACTTTCGTATGAGACTTTTATCAATTTTAAACAATAATGAAATGTAAATTTCTAGTCCGCATGTTTTTATTTTTGGACCATAAAGGAATACTCCTACTGCAAAAATGTGTGCGTATTTTGTCACTTTTGGATATTATAGACGTTGAATTATAAACAATTCCAACGATTTAAAAAGCTATAGATAAATGTATAATGTACATGTAAAAAAAACCCACTCTACAGAAAACATGAAGACGGAACAATATGCAACAGTCTTATATGCAAAGGCCAAGTTCCGCATTACAAGGTTTTCCTCACTTGTTACGCGACTGTGCCTCGGAATGCAGTGAAACAGTATTCAAAAACATGACAGAAAGAAAACGACCAATTAGTGCGAGGAAAACGCGAGCGAAAAAGCATGCATTAGGCGAAGCGAGCCCCCATAGCATAAATACTGTGCTGTAAGTTAACGAAGCGAAAGGCTTTTCTCTCCTTGCGCGAAGGACCAGTTGAATGATATATATCTCAGGAGAAACTTCATCAGTATAAGCGAATGATTATTGCAGTCGTTCGAAAAAGTCCTGCTTCATACGCCTTTGCTGTGCGAGTCATTATGTGTGAAACTCATAGCGAACGAAGGACGTCATCGTGTGTTAACATACAAAACGTATGAGATGTCTTTAAACAGATTAAGTGAGTGTGCAAGGCGCATCGAGAATCACTTTACATTTCTACGTTCGCACGCATTGCTTTGCATTATCTCAGCGTGGTGTTCGATCCATCGTGATGTCTAATCTGACAGATGGCACATGGTACTCACAGGTGGCGCACGCCAAACGCGACCTAATTTCGCACGACACAGAAGCGACATTAGGAGAGCAAAGCCCGTTGAGCCAATGTTAGTCCGGCGCACCGAAGCGTTCGAACGTTGACACACAGTACCGGTGCGCGGGGGCGTTTCAAAACAAGAACTCTAGGCAGGCCACAAGCACGTAGAGAGCGGTGCTCTCGTCGCGCGCCTCCCGCGCGCACGCCGCGGCCGCCGTGATGGGCGGGACGGGGGCGGGAGCGGGCGCGGGGGCGGGCGCGGGCGGCGTACCGGCGCGCGAGCGGCTCGCGTCCAGCGACGCGGCCGGTTGCAGGAACCACTCGGAGCGGGTCCGCATCCGCGCCCGCTGCCGCTCGTGCACCTACGCACCACCGCAACGTCACCTCACCCCCCCGTGCACCTAACGCCTAGTGCCGTCGCCGTCCTTGTTGCACCAGTATTACTCCCCGATTTTGTATTGTGCACGCTACTCTAACGCAGATGTCTTAAAGCTCGGGAACTTTTTCCAATAGGTACTTGTGCTATATTAGATATGCATATAAAATGGTCCATAGATTTGGTCAATAACGTGAGTACACGAGTATATCTTCAATCTGATTTAATCTCAATTGTAAGTGTAAATCAGAATTATTTCAGATATACATTTTGTATAGGAATTTTTAACGTTCGACCTTTGTAAGCGTTGTTGGAAAAATCCAAAGACATTAAATTACAGAATCATCACCAATTCTCTATAAGTGTTATAATCGACTTTTAACAGATGACTTAGAATAAAGAACCATAACAAATAGATCGAGCATGTCCTTCCGGGTGAATAACTTATAAAAAAAACCGAATACCCATTTATTTTTCAAAGCTGTGTATATACAAACTTATAACACATAAAACTTACAACTAAACGGTCCAATATTTTATTCAAATATAATTATATTAATTTAATTTCAAATGTAAATGCGACCGCACTAGGCCTAGCTTTCAATCCCTTCAATTTATACGCTACGTAGTTTTCAGTAACCAGCGCTTCTTGACAATTCATTTGCAGATCTTGTTGTTAATATATTAAGTTTGTTATTCACTCATTACATTAATTATGATGAAACGAGAAATGTTAAAAAATTCCATTAGTATCATTAGAGTTTCCAACAGCATGAACGTAAAATGATTTCATTAGGACATGGGGTTAATAGGAAAATACCGTACCCTTTTGCAACATTTAATAAACACTACAACCTCGTCTTGACATAGAAAAAACAATATACAATAATCAAAATAATATATTAGACAAAAATAAATTGACAAAATATCACAGTCATAATCGCATTACGCCATTCGAGATTTGCAACAGACAAAGCGGTGTTGCCTACATTAAAAAAGTATTCAAATCACGAACCATAAGGTAATAGACACGTATGGCGTCTATGTGCACAAAGCCAGTGTTGCCCGGACACAAAATATACAATTTCGCAGTAGCGTTATCTAAAAAGCGTTTCGATATTCAACAACGATCATACTCCTCGGAATTAGGCTTAGTGACTGGATAACATATACACAGATTAAAAAAAAAAAACTAAACAATGACTAACGGACGACCACAGTTCAACTCGTGTATCTTTATACGGAGAAAGATATTCGTCATGCATGTTCAGGTACACACAGACCACTAACAAATACCGACAAAAAGTTTTTTACTACATTTAATACTTTTGAATAGCAAAGAACAATCTTATGACAAGTTACGACACTGAAAGATCACTACGCGATAGATATGGAAAATTCGATATGACATAGTTAATCGTATTTGCCAGTGGTTAAAGTACAGCACAAGAGAGAGATAGGTAGTTTGCGAGTTCGGCGGGGTTCTACAAGGTGGCTACTGAGTAAAATCTCGTCACCATTACTCAAAGAATAGATCCTTTAGTGCGCGCTAGAATTTAAACATACACCATATTTATACGGAATGTTTAATGTTCAGATTAAAACTAGAGAGGAAGAGATAAACGTCGGATCCACACTATTGACTATAGTAGCTATTCTAAACAAATCCTTCAGTAACGACATATTAATGTATTGAATTGGATAAGTCTCTGTGTTGGAGTTAATGAAAAACTCTTTAATATTATTTTCAATAGGAGATAAAGAGTTCCCTAGCCGATGCTTTTAGCTTTAGGCTTTACTCATATGAAGTATATTTTGCCGCTTTACTTCCAACTCGAGCTATATCTTTATAAAGGTTACGGAATATAATGCAATAGTGTGGAGTCGGCGTCAATAAGAGAAAATCACAATATTTTAAAAGGGGAAAAATAATTAATTTTCTTCTACTTATTAAAGAACATGTTAAGATATAAATTACGAATGTGAAAAAGTTATGTTATGGAAAATTTTAAAAAGAAAATCTTTCCCTTTATTAGGTTTGGCTTTGTCGATACTTATTAATGGCAGGGAAAATCCAGTGTTGTGTCGAAATTTAGTTCGAATACTGTTGGTTTTATCTGGATGAGTTGAAGTTAACGAACATGTAGTTCTTTCGCGAATTTCCATTTAGCCAAGGTCAAAACGGAATTGTGTGACGATGGATGAAACGTACCTGAGGTAGATACGACAGGCTCTTCGTGCTCTCGGCGTATTTGTTGATGGCGCGCAGCTCTTCCAGGGTCATGTGCGGGCTGGAGTTGCTGCAGGACGACTGGGAAGATGAGCTCACGGAAACCTGACAATGGTTGTTTTTTTTTTCACGTGAGAACGTGGCAAGCGAGCAGGCGGTTCACCCGATGTCGAGTGATAACCGCCGACCATGGAAATTTGCAACACCCGTTGGGTTGCAGATGCGTTGCCACCTTTTAATAAAGTGGGCCCCGGCTACCTCGCTCAGGGTAGGTGGCAGAAATGCAACACTTCCACTTCACGCCGGTCTTCTACGATCGTGGCACTTACCCGGATGGACCTGCACATTAGTGCAAAAGCGAGAGCCCTCATCTTTTTTTTTTTGGTGCAATGTCGGCTTAGTTTACGTTTCCCTGTCTCTCTGCACATCGAGATGGAATCGGGGTATAATTGTTTGTTAATATTATGATTATTTTTGGCCTAAATTTTCTATTTTTATTTTGTATCTTCATTAATAACCTTTTAATATGTAACTTTGTGTGATAACAGTATTTTTGTTTAATTTTTTTTGAAACAATGTTTTGATTTTATTTTTGCAAAACGTCATGTACATTTCATTTATTTGGATGGTAAGTGCTGTTTGTTTTTTGTCAAATTTGCACATGACAAATATTTCCTTATTAAGATGATGCCGATATTACCATCTGTATTTAGGTATTTTTGTTTTTCAAAAAAGAAAACACGTGATGTGTTTCGATCGAACGGTAAGCGTTGATATGTACGCGTAAATTGATGAAGCGATGCGTCGGACCGGCATTGGGTGCAATTTAAAAGGTCAGTGCGACAATGGAAGGGGGAACGTAATCTCGTATACGCCTGTCGGTATTAAAGTCAATGACACAACCTTGGATAGCTTACCGCGTGTAAACTAATCCGGATACAAAGCTAATAAAAGCGAATTAAAAAAAAGGTTGAAATAAAATTTATTTCCGTGTAATATATATAAATTTATGTCAAGCGATCAGAAGGTTCACCTGATGTTAAGTGATAACCGCCGCCAATGGAGAGATGCGTTACCATCGTTTAAAATAGCTCAGCAGTAGTTCTTAAAGAAACAAAAGAGGAATGCAGAAAATTATAATACTTCCACTACAAGCCAGTTCGGTGGGAGGCCTCGACTGGAAATTAAAATTGGTTCTATCTCGCTCAGGAATAACCATTCATGCAAAAGCAAAGGTCGCTGCATGGCCCTACCACAGTAAATAAAGCATAAAAGAGCAAACTATATAATGGTAACTCCTTTGTCACATAAAAATGAATCGCAGTTGAACCCGATGATCGTCGCTATGGACATTTTTAGACTATGACGTTTATAGACTGTGACGCACACACGTTTTCTTAGACTGTGGCACTCCTCACCTTGAAGACGCTCTCCTCGAGCGATATCGAGAGGCGGGTGCAGGAGTCGAGCAGGCTGTGCTCAGGGATGATACCGAGGCCCAAAGCGCCGCCCGCTGCACCCGCGCCCGCTGCACCCGCCAGCGCGGGCATCGACTGGCACTCCTCCGATTTGGACAGCCCTAGCGATAACACGCCCTTGTACCTTCGCGCGCACCGGGCGACGGCGCTTAACTGATGGAGTCGCTGGCGGCGACAGTACGCGAAGTTTGCGACATTAGTGCTGGCTACTTTAGTATCGTCCTTTAATACTTCGTTTTGGTACAGTCGCGTGCAATTTATGCCTCAAAGCTGCTGTCAACGCCAGTCGCAATACTCAAATAAGTTGTGATGGAAAGCTACATCTTAACGAACCTAAATGTTCAATAACAGTTCATTGTTATAGTGAGATATTTTTGAAAGGTTGTGAGAAAGTCAATGGCAATTTCTTTGACAACTCCATCAGTTAAGCTTTAATAACGTGGGTGTTCTGTTCAAACCTGTGTAAAGATAAATGAGTTACAATCTTAGAACGTACAAAATGAAATATGAAATATCATAAACAAATACATTTTTTATGAAAATAACAACAAAAGTAAAACAATTACGCCTGAGTGCAGTTGGACGAAACAACAATATAGGATGTTCGTAACACATAGGTGATTCAATAGATATTTTTAATATAATGATTTCCTGTAATTACACGAATACTTGTTGAAAAACACTATTTTACGGATTTTATTTCGTTTAACTTTGGCCTTGATTCCGGATGTTTAGAATGAGGTATATCAAATCATTATAACCTTACATACGACGTTAGGATTTAAAACCATACTGAACTGTGTTCTAAAACTCGTTAATTAAAACCAAAATTAAAAGCGATAAAATCCGTAAAATAGTCGCATTAAACAGTTTTAAAATGGCTTCATTTCTTTCAAATTTTCCATTAAGATGTCCATAATGTAATCTGTCCATATTTATAAAAATATTCGCTTATTTAAATTAAGAATGAAAACATTGCTAACTCTGCAAATATGTTGAAAATAATAATTGCAATCTAGATTTTCGGGTATCAAATTTATATACGTTTGAATTATAGCTTAACTACTTACGTCTACACAGTTAATGATGGATTAACTCCCGTACCTAATGGGGCATTACTGAACTCTACGATTAGTAATAAAGTGTCCATAGTTCAATTCTACGTGCTACCCATAACCCCCGGTCAAGAAATAACATGACGTTCGACCATGTTAACGGCGTATGAATGGATTGGTTGTTAATGATTTACAAATCACTCGACTCACCGATGGATAATTTAACGGTAATTTACTGTACATTTTAACTTCGACATTTAAACTAATTAACGGGAATCATTGAGACGACCTGCGAAAAACGCACGTATTATTTTTTTTTTAAATCATACAAATATTTACACGGTTTTTGTAAATTTATAATAAACAATTTCGCACCTTCAAGATTGAACTTGTTTCCCCATCGGTCGCATTCGCATTGAAGCCACGTTTTCTCAGCTTCGAGCGATAACTGTCCTGTAATGTATCATTTTATACATCTTAATATTTATTTATAAAATCATTCAAAACTTCAACTCTAAGAAAATAGTATTTAATATATGGTTCTTCCCGGATGAGCCTGACATACTACAGTAATAGTGTACTTTATAATAAAATATACACACGGAAGTAATATGTTGCTTAGAAGGAAATAAGTGATGTATTAACTATGAGAACGGCTGTGACAAAAGAAAATTGACAAGAGGTTTGCAACTTTCTTAAGTAATACTTTCAATAAGACAGGATCCGTTAAAAGCAAGTAACATACATTATAAATTCAAGTAACATATTCGATAAATAGCCGGCTGTAGTTTACGGAAAATCACATACACGATGATTGGATGGCCCTAATAATGAAGTCGTCCAAGTTAAATGAAATGAAACAAAAGTATTTACAAAGCATATGTACGTTGTAGCAGCTGAATGTAATCTAATATCTTGAACTGCGATAGGAACGCAGCAGCTGTTGATGATTCAATTGGTACGCTCGACCGGGGTAGTTCCACAAAAGGTCGTTCGTCTAGAAGTTTTTATGTTATAAATGTTTATAATAAATTATATATATGGGCGACATCACGGGAGACCGAATATCTGTAAGGTTGGCAACTCTGCGCCATGATTGGCTACTCTCATAACAGCCACTCGTCTATCGTCTTCTTTTGTTGTATTATATGACTCTAATGATGACAACACGGTGGCGCATTTGGCAAGCTTGGCTTCGTCGGCGCCGGGGCTCGTGGGTTCGATTCTCACACGCGACAAGTATTTGTGTGTTCCACAAGTGTGTACGATATAGTATATATATACGGTAAGTATTTGTGGTACGTATTTGTTCCTAAGGAGAATAGAGAATAGGAGGTTGTCAAAAATTATACCATATACAACATTATTCACAATGTAGTGCCGATCCCACTTGATTGGGTTCTTTTTTTTTTCCTACTATGGCTCCACTGATACGTCAGTGATTTTAACAATAACTAAGTACTTTGAGATCAACTTGATAAGGTTAGGACAATGACAATGTATGTAATATTTTGTTTAAAATTATTTCAGTTGATTGGGATCCTTATCCCCAAACCTCTAATGTCAGTACTGTGTCACAGGGATTCACATTAGCGACAGGAATGTCGAAGAAATATCGATATATCGATATTTTCTGTCCATATATTTGGATCCGATATATCGACATGAAATATTCAATATCGAAAATCGTATCAAAACAATATTTTTTTTTTCAAATTCGAATCCGGCACAGCGTCCGTTGGTGTCAAATAATAATACATGAAATACTTTTTTTTTACAAAGAAGTTCCTATTACCTAAATCCAATAATACATCGATACTTTCTCTTCGATGTACCGAGGCCGATGTCGATATTCGTACAAACATCGATACATCGATACCGCGATACACCTCTCAACTTTCGCCATGCGTAATGGACCATAGTGACTCACTGGCGTACGCCTCCTGGTCTCTATGGTGGCGCGGCGGCGGCGGGTCCCGGAAAGAGCAGATCCACTCGTCCTTCACGCGCAGTATTCGGCCCGTGACGCGAGCGTAGTACTCGTAGTTCTCGCGGCCGAACAGGTCCCCGGCGCTGAACTGCTCGATCAGCTGCCTCATTATCCGCGTCGCCACCTGCTTTGCGTGACAGATTTGCGCCTCGAATCAAGCCGCGCCACGCCCGGCGGAACCGTCTACCGCCGTTGAGTGATTCGCCGTCTTAATTGGGGTCCATTTTGATTGACAAACTTTTCGAACACGACATTTCCAAATTGAAAAAATCACAATTAAATGCATGTTAAAGTAGTTTTATTAAAATGCATAATATTCGCATAAACAAGAGAAACTATACGCCAAAGAGGTTAACCGTGCCGAGCGCCCGGTTACACCGCTTCGCGTTTAGTAGTTTTAGCGTTTAGCGAAGTAAGCGGTCGATTTACGGCTGGTTTAAATATCCTATCCACAGATAGGTTTGGGTACTGAAAATAGAATTTTGACGTAAGTGTTGTGGAGCCAATATCAAATACCTATCGTTAGTAACCAAATCGATCTGTAGATAGAATATTGAAACCGGCCGTTAGACGGTTGCTGGCGAGCTGAAGTAAAACCTATATACTAGACGCTATGATATACTAATGTATTACTGGATACTATCTTATAACTTGTGTTAAGTGTTGCTGTTATTTATAGGTGGTAAAGAGTTTAGAAAAATTAAAGCAAATTGTTACTCCAAGATACCCGTGCTGATAAAAGGTTTAAGCTTTTAAGATGCACGCATATAGCATATAATGTGACCAACTTAAAATAATACGAAATATAACACAATAAAACGTTTAGGTAAGAAATAACGGTACTGCGACGGACACACTTGTACACAATACTACATAAATAGTATTTTATTACCAAAAAAACAAACTCGACTCACTAAACATTTTCTATTTGATTTTGAGGAGTGGGAACTGATGTATCTCCGGAATCCAAGGTCCAATATAAATGAAATTATTATTTCTGCGTTTCATCTGGTGAGTGAGAAGGGGCGCACGTTATTAAAAGGTGGCAGCTCATCTGCAACCTTACGGATGTTGCAAATGCAAATGTCCATGGCTATAACTTAACATCAGGTGAACCGCCGGCTCGCTTGCCACCTTCTCACATAAAAAAAAACTTTTTTTTATTAACGCATATTACAGTTAAAAGCGATTTAAAAAAATGCAACATCCCCGTCACATGACGAATTCATAAAATTTTTCAACTACGATCACTGTACCATATACAACACATACAATGTAAGGTTACATATTCAGGTCAGCGGTCGTTATAACAAAAAAAGTTTTTCCAGTCCAAGTGTTTCATACGTAATTCATAACCAATCATAAGACCATTTACGAGCGAACTATTTGAGTAAGTCGACCGCTCACTATTATGTGCTTAGTACAGCGCGATATCGCAGATTTCGCTTTTGGGTGAACGGTCGAGATCTGCGTTCCCTCTAATAAAAACTCTTTGGTCTCAATACTTTTCGCTTTATAGTCAATTTGTATAGCTACTTCGTGAATTGTTGAAGTAGTGTACGTTGGCCACCACAAGTGTCATCCCACAGTCTAATGAACGAGTCTCTGCCACCGTAACGCCCGGTTTCTGAAACACTGATCATCGTAGAAGTTAACAAATCAGCTGTCAAATGGCTTTGGCTGAGCAGTGTTAAAGAAACCGGGCGTCTTGTGAAGTCTAGCAGCGTTGTTAGGTTTACATTGCAAATCTTTACTCAACTGCCATCTCCCAACCAATTCAATGGTGTAGAACTAAATCTCAAAAGCTTTGTATTCGTTGAACTAAGAACGAGATAGTTCTACAAAAAACAAATGTCTAATAAGCATACAAGTCGTACGTGTGCAAAAAGATACACCTCGAAAATTAAGAGTATAATCATGTACACAATTTCACGTCTGAATCATGCCTTATTTAATTTGATAACGTAACACATAAGGCACGAGTTAGACGCACAAGTTATAAGTATATTTGAGTGTGAATCAGGAGTTTATCATCAAGAAAATCAAACTGTTAGTGTCACAATGACGTAATTTTGCGAGGTGAATGTTGGTGTTATCTATGATTTATCTACGAGACTATGATGAGCAACCTTATTTCGCGTAATTAATCGCGTAATAGTAACAGGCTCGCAATAGATCTTAGCGAAAGTGCATAAATATTGCGTAAAATAACCTGAAAACGAACAAAGTTAAATGATAGCGGTTATAGTAGTTATAAATTATGCAGAAATAAAACTCTTGCACACAGTACAATAATTTAAGTGCGTAGTTTACCTACTTTTATATTTATTACCTCACTCAATACTTTACTACAGCATTCAATATTTTATATTTTATTGGAAACACCAAAAAAAAATCATAGCAAGTAAAGCAATAATCTAGAGAAAACAATACTGATATTATTAAAAAAGAATTGTTTCGAATAATACTCACGCTGACTTCAGCCTTTTGCCGCATGTTTTAGACAATATCGTAAACAAAAAAAATTCAATTCAAGCTATATACATCGTTTTTACATCTTTAAATTTACTATTCATAATACCATAGAGTTATATTACAATATATAGACAATAGCATATTTTATTATTGTATTCGAGCGTAAGTCAGCACTAATCGGACAAACATCTTTCTGTATTCAAATTATACAAAACATTATCACCACCTAACACGGGTCAATTTCAAATTGTTATATCCCATTTGAAACTCAATGCTCCGTTGATCGTAATATCAAAACTTGCGTTTAAGAACGATACGCAATTTCCTTTAATCATTCAATTGGAGATTATCGTAATCGTGGTCTCTAGTAGTAAAACAACGGAATCATTGTTTCGAGCCTTGCAAAGTGATTGTGTTCAGATAACACCACAATACTTTCCTCATTATCACATATATGTACCTACCACAACACCAAAATTGCAAAATCCGCTTAACTCTTCGCTGTAATACTAAAAGGACTATCATATATTAATCAAGAGAAATTCGGTATTAAAATCGGTATAAGTTAATACAGCGTGTGGTATGGTTACACAACGCCGTAACAATGCCAACGTGGGTCTTGAACAGACGCATTACAAACGTTGCGTAATAGTGACCGATATAATGGTGCGTTCATATTGCTGAGCACATCCAACGTCCATTTCCAAACTCAGGCTTAAGCGGTGGTGAGGTCTCGGTCGAGCGACTCTGTCACGGACGCTTAGCGACGAGCACGCCTCGTGACGCATTACTGAGTGAGCTGCGAATGGATCGCGACCGATCGAGCGGAACGGAACGAGCGGAATGAACGGATCGCGCGGTTGACTGACCTTGAAACGCTGCACGTCCTCCATCGTGGCGGTCTTGCCGTCCGACACGCAAGAGTGGAAGAACGACGGCGCGACCGACACCCCCAAGGCTTCCGATGTCATTCCGGTTCCTGGTGACAAATCGGGTTCCACGCTCTTTATGAAAATTACATTAGAGAACGTAAATTTTAAGCATTTTAACTACCACTACTACGTACTACATCTCATTGTAGGGCCAACAGTTTGCTGTTGCACGAATGGACAGGTCCGTCCCCGGGGAAGTACCACGAGCTCACAGAAAATTGGCGTGAAGTGGAAGTGTCATACTGCGTTTCATCTGGCAATTGAGATAACCGGAGCCACTCTTGAGCCACCTTCTCACATAAAAAATATAGCCCTAATCTCGTATACCAAAGTTCTAACAACTCGCATCTGATCTAAATGTATCTGGTGAAACTGTCACAAACATCAAGGTAGAAGACACAGAAAGATGAACAATGTATTATTTTTCGTTAGTATTTACGTAGACATTTAAAGGAATCGAGAAGACATGTAAGACACTGAAGGGTGCACATTTCGTTCCGCAATCGATAAGTTATCCAATGGAATTCTGTCGTAGGGGATTTTATAGAGGTAAGAAAGTTACAATGTCTATTCATAGTTCGCGTGGAGGTCGCTGAAACCTTAGAGCTCGTGACACGTTGTGAATGAGTTTGTAGTTGAAGTTGCGTAAATACGCTAAATACTACAACGGCGTATCGCAACAATATGCTGAAATGAGCTCTATGAATAAACGAGCGAATTGAATTTAAAACTAAGTGAATTTTACCTTTCGGATTTCGAAAATAAACAAAGATAGTATTGAGAAGTAAAACTTCTATTAAAAAGCAGGAAATTACAATGTGAATGATAAAATACTTGATGTATTGCCCTACAAACAGAAATATATAATTCAAATAAAACAAAAACATAACATAAGCTTAAAAGACAAGTAAAGTAAAATTAAAAGTAACTGTCTATATAATATATTGCACTGATTCCACACTGTACAAAGAGTATTATTGAATAATCTACCACGCGACCCCACTGCGGATTGGCCGAGTTCACATTTCTTCTAAATTGTTTTTGAAATTATCATTCCTTATAATTTCTAAAATATGCAGGTTTCCTCATGATGACACCCTTCACCACTGAGCACGTGATATGTCAGAATTTAAAATTGCAATGAATTATTCATTGGTACCATTCATACATATTAATCCGGGCCCTAATGATAACATAACACTTAAATGATATCCAAAGTGGCCTTTGAAAAGGCTGTGAGATGTTAAGTTTGTTTTCTCTAACTCGAAAAAATTATAATTTAACTATAACACGCCGGTGTCAGTGTTCTGCGTGTTTGTATGGGGTGACTGAGTATGCAAAGCTTTTTTGCATGTATGGAGTGCACGCACATGCTTTCAACAAAACAATCAATTGCCGATTCGACATTCAAAACAAACAGTGAACATTAAATGTTATAGCTTCTCAATCGGAGGCAAATGACAAACGACATAATAATGCATTCAATTAATACATAAAAAGACCGCAAACCGCACAACGTTGCCGATGAAACGTCCATGTTGAAACATAATCGATGTGTCACGTTGAAAAACTGGCCGCTTAAAGGTCGGAGCCGTTACGAGTAAAGCCAAGTATCGATGGAGCTCATCGCTGTAAGTTTATCGCCCTTGTAGGGAACGCTATGCAATCCTGCTTTACCAAAGGAGAATAGTGTATTGAGAGCCATCTTTAAAGTAAATTCTGCTAAAGGGATTCGTTTACAGACGCAATGTCTACTTCCGCATTATTCATTTAGGTATCAAGGTTTTCTTTATTAAATCTTTTAGGCAAATAAACGGTATTTAAGAATGATTATTAAATTGAAAGGCTAATAGAAGTTAAGAAGTAAACGCCATTATTAAATTAAAGAAATGAACCTAGAGTGCTTTATCAGAGACATGATAACAGCCAACTCGGCGGTATTGAAGAAATCCGTAGGGAAATAAGATTACATTTTGTATTTTGTTTTGAACGCGTTGTTTTGTTTTTCTTGAAATGCCAACAAATCTCGATCGATCTCAATAAGCACACAGTGTAAAAAATTGTGTGCTTATTGAGATCGCTCACATTTAATTTCTAAGAAACTAATAATGTTCCAAATAATATGAGTCAGCACTACAGATATGTTTACGCAATATCAATACATTTCGTGCAATACTGCGCCCAAGACATACTTGAGCACCATTTATGCACAACGACTAATTATGCGTGATCTAAATTCAAGTAAGCCAATAAACAATAACAGTAGCATTTGCAAAAGTTCCCGAAGGTCGTCGAAGTCGCCGCAGCCGCGTCTGCTTACGCGGCTGCGTCGGCCCGGCCATGAGTCGACAATTTCTCTAACAAAACAATTATGCACAGATGTACAACTCTAATCATTATTCTAAAACTAGCTCGTGGGAACTGTCTTTCAAAAAGGCTGTGTCCGATGAAACTCTATTTGTTTATTGCAAACGGCACTCGTGGACGCACTCAAAAAGTAACAGGCGTACTTTCAACCACCAAGTTTTTGCCTCCTCTGGGGTTACTTTACTGTGACTTTGCAAAAAAAAATGAGCAATTGGCTTTTCCGCCGTTTATTTGTTATTTAATCCAGCAAATTTCTAACGATTCACTTTATACATGCCCACGGGGCAAATAAAACTAGCAGAACACACGCGATAAGTTCCGGTAACACTTAACTTTGCAATATGTTCTCTTAAAACTAATTAATCTTTAACCACAAATCATTTTACCTCGTGATGCTGTGACACTTCCCTGATCGGGTGTATTCGTTCTAGCGATGGGTCGTTGAAGGTATTTTCGTCAACTTAACGTTAACGTTGATTCATGTTCGTCAACTAGTTGATCAACTAGTTAACGTGACACATAAGTATGTTAAATTGCAAGCCCTTTCTTCTACTAGGGAAAACGGATTAAAGCTATCTATGCATAAATCTAACAATCCCACTCGCATCGGAATCTCCTGTTTAGGCACTGAACTAAGACTATGATATTTTAGCTTGTTCCTGGCATGGAACAGAGTGGGTTAAGTTCCGATAGAGGCAGATTACTTAAAGATTGGTACTAAAACACTGATGAAATAATTTAAATATATTTCCGCCTCAAGTACTTTTTAAATTTAAAACGGTCAATTTGTTCGATATTTTCTCCTCGCATACATTACAAATAGCTTTCCCGCTAGAACTGTCTTTTTAGATATAAAGCCATAACTCACTGTTAATACATCCAAACATTTTGAATTTTGTACCCACAGTCCTCTATCCACTTAAATAATCATAAATTAAAATAAAAAAACACTAACCACAAAGTAAAATTCTGATAAACAAAACTAATAACATAAAATAAAATTCCAAATATAATTAATCAAAAATTAACAAATTCACAAAAAAACTATTCACAAACTGTCAAACAAAAATAAAGAAAGCGAACTTAAACAAGTCCTTCATAAAATTAAACAAACATTTCAACTCAACTCTGTGACGTTTTTTCAACGTATGGTTTTCAATTTATTAAGTTCGTTACGCTTATGTTCCTTAACGTATTGTTGACTGCGTTTTTAAACGAGTTAATTCAACAACAAAAATTCCAAAACGACGTTAACGAATTCAACTAGTTGATTTCAATGACAGTTAAAGTTAATTCATTAACAAGAGAACAACGGTTGATTCAACTAGTTCGTTGATTCAACGCCCATCGCTAATTCGTACATCTAGAAATGTTATCTAAGCTGTTGTTTCCCTACCACGGAAAGAAAAAAAAAAGGGTACAAAGACAATGATACAGTTAACAATAAACTCGATAGAATCCACTTACGTCGCATTGCAAAGACGTAACCAGCGTGTAATGTTATTGTTCACACCAAATACGCGAGGGTACATGTAAAACAGGAGGATGTTGCATTACGATTGTGTCGTTTGACGTCGGCCTCCGACACCGCCTTACGAAGAAACGTGTCGATTGAATACGAACGATGGTTTGGTATTATGGATTTGATCCCTTTATAATTATGTTTCTGGCCACCCACTGAGCAGCAGTGGCTGTTTACATAATTATAAATAATAGAAAATTTAAAAACAAGCAAACGCAACAAAATTAAAGCAATAGAATAGAAATTTCGTTTACCTACGGGCGTTTAATTTTCAAATGTTGGATGTGGCATCCATTCATTCATGAAAGAACTAAAGTACCTATAGGATTATATTTTTATAGTTACAGGATTTTATTTTTGTGAATTTCCATTATATCAATTGAATTATGGACAATGAAATACGAATGATTGCTATATGAAACCTATACAATCCGTAAAACGAACATAGATAAATATAATCAAAGAACATTCGAGTGTTCCTTGATTTCTGAAGTGCTCTCGATATAAAACAAGTCACATGCAACACTATAAACGGTGAACACTATTATTAATTCTCTACGAACGCATGTTCATAAGAATACATGTGTATACAGCGTGTCGTTACCATCGCGACAATAAATGATCACACGTCTAACGCTACTTGCCAATAATCATAAAAAAATATTAACGTTAAAAAAAAACATGGTTAAAAAAATTTTTTTTCAAACAAACTAATTAAGTAAAAAAGAAACAAAATTTGTAACATCCTATACAACTACAACCGACTGATTCATACATTCAGAGACTTTTTTATTCGTTGCCACAGCGCCACATTACAAGCCTCTCCTTCTAACAGTATGTTTTGTCTCTTTTAAACTCATTCAACCCATTCATATGATTTGTGGCCCTTAACATTAAAGTTGTATACGTAAGAGTGTTCTAAAATTCTTTGTTTTGGAAAATTTGATAACTCGTTAAATATTGACGTTTAAAGAATGTAAATCTTTAATACAATTTTAAAAAGCTGTCCTCTATATGTGTGTTCATTTATTGTCGCGATTGTAAAGACACGCTGTATATAAACAAATTACCATGGTATAGATAAAAAAAATATTAAATTAAACTCAACCGCAGATTTTCATGGTCACGGGACAGTGAGTCTGAACAGTGACCATGAACGCTGGAAAGGGTTTGAAACGTCGGAGATTAAAAATCAAAATTAAAACGCGATAGAAACCGTAAAATAGTTTCATTTAATATGCATCATATTCGCGTAAAATCAAGAAATCAATATAGAAATAACTCTTTAATACTCGTATGAAAATACATCACCCACCATCTACTATAAAATTTATCTAACTAGGTGTCGGTTAACACTGCTATATATAGTATAGATTGTCCTGACAATAACAGGGCAGGCTTGGCTTAGGTTATTCAATGTGCCAGTCACTAATTTAAATACCGGAAGTAAATACAAGGAAATATAGTCCGTGTACCGAAAAGCATAACGTCTAGAATTGAACGAATAACTATGCACAGCATCGAAATAGGGACGAGAAAGTGGTTTTATTTTAATGTTTGCATTTCCTTCTCTAAAAAAACGTTGGGATCTACTATGAAATATAAAAAAAATGACTGACGAGCCGATTGGCGCAGCAGATAGTGAACTAGTCTCTTTCGCGGAAATGGCAGTGGGTTTGATCCACATATTTTTTTTTAATTATCTTTTATTTTTATGAGGTTTTTTTTTACAAAGATGCGCCAACTCCATCTTAACTTATGCCAGTCACAACAACTTACAAAATACGTATCCTTCAAATTGTAGATTTATCTAAAACGGGAATTACTCTTTGTTGACTTGGAAAAGGCCGCAAATACGTTTTACTGTTTCACTTTTGGGATTCGCAAACATATTAAACATAAGACCAACATCTAATTAATTTACATTAAGATCTTTAAACAGCAATTCCCTTTTATTTCGGTTCCTTTCACAATCTATTGCATACCTCAAAATGAGGTGAAGCAGCCTTTCCGATTAAGAAAGAAAATTTTGCTGATGGATAGAGCCCAGACCGAAGTCTTAGTGCTAATTTTAATTTTAATAAATGAAAAAATATTATTTCATGATCAATTTGATGATGATGTGTTTTTCTAGTATCTGGGCGTTAACATATTTACAATAATATGTGTTTATTTTCAACAAATGTTTATGTATCAGTTATCTGGTGCTGTAGCTTCACTTAGTTTGGGATTAAATAGCGTTGTATAAAATCAGATCCGGATACGTTTATTGTTTAGATTTAATAAAGCTTATTCATAAATTTGCTTCGTTAAATCGTCTAAAATTGTCCTTTACTCATTGCTGACAGAGTAGCAAATGAAATACACCAGTAGAATATGTCTTAAAGGCAATAATGACGCGCTTTGAGTAAGTTAAGTGACCAACAATATCGCTATCCCCCATCAGGTATCGGATATCGATCAACGTCTAGCAATTTTTAGAGTTAAACTAGCTGTCCAGGCAGTGCCACTTGGCGGGGAGGGAGCCAACAGCGGTTTTCCACCACTGCGACGTATGTGCCGAGGAGACGGCCCAACAAGCACTGGAGGAGTGCCCAGCCTGGCGGGAGCAGCGCCGAGAGCTGAGGACTATCGTGGGGCACGATCTCTCGCTACCCGCCGTCCCCAGCACCCGGGGAGAGGAGGCCTGCGTTTTCGTGTTCCCGTGTCCCCGGCAAAGCGATAGCGCAGGTACAACGTGGGTTTTTACGGGGTACGTGTAACTCCCACATACCCCTGCTGCCTACTCACAAGGCGGCGGAGGATCCCTAAAGGATTTTTCCCACGTAAAAAAAAAAAGCTGTCCCGGCAAACGTTGTTTTGCCATATAAATTATTTGTAGGGTAAAAAAAATGTTTGGGGTGAACCACCCTTAACATTTAGGGGGATGAAATATTGTCCGATTCTCCACCCTGGCCGATATGCACACAAATTTCACGAAAATCGGTTGAGCCGTTTCGGAGGAGTTCAATTACAAACACCGTGACACGAGAATTTTATATATAAGAGACATTAAAAAAATAGAATGCGAATATGTCTCAAACAGCGTTCTTATGCTAAAATCGATTTAACCTTTCCTTTAATTTCATCGTCCCAGTTGTGCCAACCCTAAATTGTATTGAATGAATCCACAATGGACTCGCTTAGTGACAGTTGCAGAACTAGTGGTGCGTGGGCGGCTCACGCGAGCTCGCATGATATTGACGAAATTAATTATACTAATTATTTTCGGTAATAGCATTGTCAGTTTATTTTTTTTAGAGATTCGCTGTTTTTAAACGAGGAACCGAATACGGCATGCGAAGGCGCAGCCATCCAACCTTCCGCATCTGGTACAAGTTTACACATGCCCGTGTACATAGATTACATACATTTATGTATGCATGTGAATAGTGGGAATATGTTTAGTGGGAATAGCAAATGACACGCCTAGTGTGCATCGTTGTTTAAAGTTTTTCAGTATTCAATATGAATATTGAAAAGTATTCCTACATTTACTGAATTCATAAAAATGAATCATACGTGTCAAAAAGCAGACCGGATGTTTATTCACGGTAAATTTGTATTTGTAAAACGTCCTTAACACGTAGGATAATGCTGTCCTACAGTAAGGGCAATGGTTATTTTTTTATCTTTACAAAACATGATCAATAAGCAATTGATCTGCTTAAAAAAATAATGTTTTACTGCATACGACTCACAAGATTGACTTCTTCGCTGAATAACTGTAAAAACAGCAATTGACGCTCGACTTATCTGTACAATACCGTCATGAGACTAGTAGTGCATTCCTATACCCTAATTTCTCACGGTATCGCGTCGAAATAACATCCATACGAGAGATACGCCTAAGGCGGATGTCGCTAAAATATATTTCCAAAGGTAGAACGACTTCGATTCTTATTATAAACTTAGCCGTAGAAATGTTAGGATGGACCGTTTGCAATGGGGAAATCGAATATTCAAACAGTACGTAAGAAAACGAATCGTAACAATGAGAGTCAAAGGGTACCATCGTAATCCATGTCCCACAGTCCACCATTTTTGGTTACGTACTTTATTGATAATCGCTCGTCCTTCAGTAACGGTCAAAGACTAGCCAAAGAAGCGGGCGATATACTTTTATATTCGATCTCGCGTCGATACATTGCAAAAATATTATTAGGGCAAAAAAAAAACGGACACCTGTCGTATCACGAGACGGTGGGGAATCTAGATCAAGGGTGCTCCATATTCCGCGAATTCCGTGGACGCAGTGACCCAACGCCGTAATATAAACGTGTCTCTGTTTTGATTGGCTTCCGGCGGATTCGAAATTTGAAAAGCGAATATTTCTTACTGTTGTAGGGCCACGCAACAGATTCGGATGTTGCACGAATGGACAGGTAATACCTACGTTATGAGATCCTATGTTTTATTTTATTATTAAAAACTTCGTTACTGTGGTAGGGCCACGCAATAGTGTTCGCTGCTCCGCAGGTCCGTCCGAGTAAGTACCACAAGCTCACAAAAGACCGGCGTAAAGTGGAAGTGCCCTCATGTCTTCTGCGTTTCGTCTGGTGAGTGAGGTAGTCGGGGCCCACTTTATTATAAGATGGCAACGCATCTGCAACGGCCGTGGACATGTGCAAAACGGGTGTTGCATATGTCCATAGGCGGAGGTTATCACTTAACAACAGATGAACCGCCAGCTCGCTTGCCGCCTTCTGATATAAAAAAAAATTAAAAAAGCTAACGCTCACCGGCTTTGTCGGCGTTGGACGCCATCACGCGGAAGGTGCCGAAGAGCAGCACGAGCAGCCTCTGCGTGCACACGGGAAGTGACAGCAGCAGCCTGCAAGCCAAAACTATCATTATTCGTTCAGTCGCGAGAAACTCCGCAGTACCGAATCATTATGTGTAAATTATTCGAAGTATTATGTGTAAATGAGTATTTATTAACAATGAATTTTATTTCAAAGAATAGGGTTTTCAGTAAACTTCAATAGAGGGCATTACAAGTTATTTTAAGTAGTGTCTTTCAATGAAAACAATAACTTTATTCTACCAGTCAATGTTGTTTTTCAATAGCGGCAAACATAATCGTATTCGAATCTTTAAATCTCATGAAGAATTATAAAAGTTATGGCGTACTGGCAAAAAATGGACCTGTTCGTTGCGATGGCGATTAAATATATTCCGATTTTTTCACTTTAATTTATTAATATCGCACTGTATATCCTGCTTTCATTCTACTTAAATGTGAGTTACATCTTGATTGACCCTTAAGAATTCAGATTTTGGGAAAACTAGAGCAAGTATAGTAGTCGAACACGCAACCTTCTATCGAAAGACTAATTCCCAGACACTAGGCCACCGGTGCTTAATTAGGTTTTATGAAAGTCCACACAGATACCAATTAACATGTAATAAAACTAAATACAACGTATCAATGGGTAAAATGCATTCATTAATTGTTAAGGTTCGCTTACAAAAAAGTACTTGATAAGCCATGATGTTTCTTATATTGTATTACATTGAATATTAAAATTACATACACCTAAATAACAAAAATAAAAAGATTGATCAAAAGTTATATTCGTGAGTTATTGTCACACTGAAACCGTGACAAAAACTGTTCCGATTTGACAACAGCAGATTGTCCCAATTACGACATGGCGTTAATTATAAACACAGTAATGACAGGTCGTCGACCCCGCCGCTAATGGGTATTACGGCGAATAACAACGTCATTGGGAACCAACATGACAGAGAACATAACCAAAGCTTTTGTAACGCTATTGAACATTCTTCTAAATTCAGTGAAAAGGAACGAAAAAGATATCAGAATGAAAGAATTAAACAAAATTTTATACGATAGGTACAATACATAACTGAAAAATTGTACAATAAAAATAAAAATAATTTAAATGCACCAAATAGGTTTCCACTTATTTTGTTCTATTTATATGTTAACAATGAGTAGGTAAATATAACATTGAATTCACGGAGTTAATATACTACGTGAATGCTGATTACAGTAGGAGGGTGAATTTAAAATGATTTATAATTATTGTATTAAAAGAAGGTAGTGATAGACCCGCGGCTAAATCGTCGGATTAGCGAGCAATGTTCTTAGGTTCGATTCGTAACAGTATTTGTAAAATATCTCCCTTCGAGTGTCTTATGTACAGCAATCACTGTATCCCATTTGTGCCCAGTGTACGGCGACAAGGACTCAGAAGCAACAGACAGAACTAAATAACTCAAAGAAGAAAACAGAGAAACTAGATCACAATGTTCTTTAATATAGTGTTTGATTGTATACCTTTTATTTACCGGACCTCGAAACATTACACATTTACGGGCTATAGTGAAAGATTCAGTTAAATGACTTAACTGATAACGCATGAAACGAAACAAATAATAGTACGTAGTAATAAATAATCTCGAATGATGAACTACAGGTCATATTGTTACAAAAGTTTGGCATTATCTTTGTCGGAAGTTGTTATGGTAATATTTTATTTACAATTGTCAAGTGTCCTAACAAATAAGATACTTTTCTTCCATTATAAAGTTTAAAAATCTTAGTAATGCAGCCTGTTTGAGTCCACTGCTGAACGACCCTGAGCCACCATCGAATTCTCGCACATTTGTACAGGTCGTCACTCCAAGTGCTTTGAAAACTTATAAGTTCAATTTTAGAGCAATTCATCCAAATCTTTTCGTATACCATTAGCTTAAAATCACGTGCAGATTCTAAATTAATTTTGAAAAACTGAAAGTAGCGTGATAATATACTTCAATACATTGTAATGTCATCTTGGATGCTTGAATCGTAAGTACATGACATAGACACAAACAGTCTACAGTAAGAACGTCTCCTAACGCCTCCAAAGCTATTAGAAAATTTTCTGATGCAGTATATTAAAGAGAACAGTACAGTGTGGAAACAAACACGAAACCGAACATCTTAAAGAAAACACTCCATCAATATTTCAAGAGCAATAAAATCAACACTAAAAGTATCGCGCGCGAAAATAAATACAAGCGGCAAATCCCGCAGTTTAAAGCCATCAAATATTGCCTACGAATATTTAAAAAAATATATATTCGATAAAGCGAAATAGTTTCGTGAATACGAAGGCGGGTGCATTGACCACGACAATTACGTCAAACCCCGTAATTATAGTGAAGTGTCGTATGAATTATTATCGATAAGCCGGCCAAAGCCGTAACATCGCGCGGCGGCATCAGAATTCGTCGATAAACCGCCATTGTTCACTTCCATAACATTGTCGAGCATGAGCATAGTGGAGGTGGGTGTTTCGCGTTATTACAGCGAGGCATCACCAAGTTATAGATGGATAAGATGATACAACCCATTTACTATTTATTTCAATCTAAAACATTACTTCTTTTCGTAAATAGGAACTCTGTCTGTCTATCTGACTGTCCATCTGTCACCAGGCTTTATCTCATGAGCCGTGATTGAAGTTTTCACAAGTGATGTATTTCTGTTGCCTCTATAACAAATACTACAAAACAGAATAATAAAAAAATATCCCCCATATATTTTTAGCCGTACGGAACCCTTCGTGCGCGAGTCCGACTCGGACTTTTCCGCTTTTTTTTAAACTTTACCGCCTCTTTGGGATGATATAATCCAGTGTATTGAGGCGTTTTAGGAACACAAATTAAACGGAACCAACATATAGGACAGTTATCTGTAGTATAAATACTTGTCCCCGATAGGAATCGAACCCATGACAGGCTACGAAGAGGTCTATCGCTTACAAACTATACCAGCACTAAGCGCGTTTGTCTTTAGCAAAATTGCCTAACTAAGTAGGTACTTAGTGAATGCATACAAATGAATAGTTGGCATATTTATTGGGGTCTTTTTACGTGATAACAGGCCAGTTTCATAACGAGAAACGAACATTCTTTTATACAGACGAACTCCTAGAACTAGGAAATAAATCCTGTACAATCAGACGCGGATCAACAATCTAAAGTAAAAGTAAAGTAACAGCCAATACATGTCCCACTACTGGGCAAAGGCCTCCTCTATACAGAGGGTATCAGGGCACATTCCACCACGCGGCCCCAATGCGGATTGGCGGACTTCACATATTTTCGAAATATATATTTTTTTGTTATTATTTCGAAAATATGCAGGTTTCCTCACGATGTTTTCTTTCACCGATAAGTCAGCACTTAAAGTTAAAAACTTCATTGGTGCCGGCACCGGGGATCTAACTCAGGTTGCTCGAGTATATCGAATTAAAGGCGAGCGCCCGGACACTGAGCTATCACGGCTCTTGAGCTATCACGGCTCTAATCAACAATCTAAAATATCAAATTGAAAACACAAAATGTTTGTGCCATGTGAATTCCGAACTCACAAAAGGCGGCTATAACAATTGGCAAGGTGACCATGTAAGCCATTGAACCATCCGTAAGGAGTCGGTATGAATAATTTTCTCCACCGTTTCTATCATAATATATATATATATATATATATACAGCGTGTCGTTACCATCGCGACAATAAATGAACACACATCTAACGCTACTTACCAATAATCAAAAAAAAATATTTTTCAAACAAACTAATTAAGTAAAAAAGAAACAAAATTTGTAACACCTATACAACTCGCGCCACAGCGTCGCATTACAAGCCTCTCCTTCTAACAGTATCTTTTGTCTCTTTTAAATTCATTCAACCCATTCATATACTTTGTGACCTTTACAAATGAACTTTACGTTACAGTTTTATATGTAAGGGTGTTCTAAAATTCTTTGTTTTGTAAAATTTAATAACTCGTTAAATATTGATGTTTAAAGAATGTAAATGTTTAATACCATTTTTAAAAGTTTTCCTATATATGTGTTCATTTATTGTCGCGATGGTAACGACACGCTGTATAATCGGAATCTCGGAAAAGGCGATTTTCATGAAATTTACTATTTACGTAGATTCGGGGGCGATAAATCGATCTGGCTAGGTTTCATTTTTAGAAAATGTCGTTTTATCCCAGTTTTCAGGTAATGAAAAATATCATTCGAATACGACGGTAAATTTCACGGGTAATCCGTTCACAAGGTCGGTAATCGGGCGGCCACGAAACAGAAGGGCGTGGTTCGTGTCACGATCATTTGAACACTTATTTTTTTAGTTTTTTTTCGATTCCAGATCATTGCTTTCTTTATTTTTTATTTTTTGTCGATCCAGATAATTTTATTATTTTTTCCCTTTTTATTTAAAGTTCTTTCTTTTGTGAAAAACACCATTTCACATTTTCTTATAATTACGTCGGTATGATCGAAAAATATTATGCATATTTCAAAGCTCGGTCCTCCAGGTACTATAATATGGTTCTTACAAAACGACACGGGTAATCATAAAGACAACATCATACAATCGCTTTGTCGCAAATGTGTTCCAATGGGACAAAAATTCATATAAACATCGTATATAGGATTATCGATATAGAAATAGCAAAATGAAAACTTCAGAATACAATCAATCTCCACTCGATTTGGAATTAGTAACAGATAATTAGAGTGCTTGCGTAAAGCGTTACGTAGAAACTCCTTCGTCGGCACTGAGGAAAAACTCGCCAATGCATATTAATTGATTGCTGCTACGAGCTGACTCATCAATAGTTATACCAACAATTCGATATTAGGAAGACACATTACATCGCATTTTCACAGATACAATTACAAAAACAGTCTATTTTATCGCGACCGCCCTTGATGTTAAGTGGTAACTGTTTTTTTTGTAAAACTGATGTTACGCCTTAGACTATTAAAGCTTCATCGAACGCAGAACCGGTGGAGTAGC